ACTTTAAAAAAAAAAAAAAATTAAGATTTGCCCTACATAATTAATTTTTCAGCACTTTCAGAGTGTAGTGGTTTTATGGAGACAGGCTCAGGCACCAAGTGTAGTGGTGTTATGGAGACAGGTTCAGGCACCAAGTGTAGTGGTGTTATGGAGACAGGCTCAGGCACCAAGTGTAGTGGTGTTATGGAGACAGGCTCAGGCACTGAGTGTTGTGGTGTTATGGAGACAGGTTCTGGCACCGAGTGTAGTGGTGTTGTGGAGACAGGCTCAGGCACCGAGTTTGTGGAACCACCATCCTCTATGTCTAGGTTAAGCAAGACTGTAGCCAATGACACAAAGGATAAGATGAGGCCTGTTATAGAGCAGTTGTTGTTGGAGATTTTATCATAAGAGGTGTGAAGCTGGACAATAGTGGCCTTGTGAGATGTCTTCCTGGAGCTAATGCTCACAAAGACAGTAGACGTATTTGTAATATTGTTAAGCAAGCAAAGCAGGAAGGGGAATCGGATGTACTTGTCCATCTGGGGACAAATGACTTCGCTCGCAATGGGGTTTCAGAGGTAAAGTACGTTTTTGCCAATGATATATGGCAGGTTGCTTCCACACTGTCATTCTCTTAAGTTCTGCCTGTGCATAACACTCAGTCAGAACGACAGGCGGAGGCGTATTAGAGATTTTAACTTGTGGCTTGGTGAATGGTGTCGGGAGCAAGGATTTGAGAGTGTGTGTCTGTCAGTGAGTGTATGTATTTATCAGTGAGAGTGTGCGTCTGTCAGTCAAAGTGCGGCCTTGACAGGAAGGGTTGGGGAAATTTAAATTGGGGGGGAGGCGAGGAGGGGGTGCCCGAGCACCGTCCTGCCTAGAGCAGCACAAATCCTAAATACACCACTGTATCTATGGCAGTGTTCTTGTTACAAGTGGCCATGAACAAATTATAAGAAACAGTAGAAAATGATCTCTTTACCTCTCATGGGATTGTACCATGAAAAACACTTGGGTGTATATGTGTTATTAATGACTATTAGGGAATTGCAACATCTCTGCCTATAGTTATTGGGTGGGAGTGATATCCAATGCATGTTGTCTAACAGCTAAAGTCCTGAACTCCAATACTGCAGAATCCTGAGAAACATAGGATTTTTTACATTTTTTAAAGGGGGACTCCTACTATTCATTAAGCTCTCTTTGTACTCTACCTGCTTTGCTGACTAAAAGAGATAAAATGCTATTACTGATAGTATCTAGAAACCTGCATCATATGTTTGTGTTAATGTGTGTTATCGTTTTTTCAAAACTAATGTCACCCATTACAATGGACTATAGTAAAGATCAACATCTGTAACAACTGTCTATAGTAAACTCAGTCGATGATTGATCTAGAGTGGGTTACATTTTATATTATTTTTCTTTGCAATTGATCAGATTATTTTACTTTCAAGTAACTTTTGAAAAGGAATGTTACCATAGTCTTTCAAAGCCCTTAGAATTATTTTTATTTTTTTAATGAATTTAATATTGTGTGAATTATCGCTCTTTCCAGCTGCTGCTATTACCTTAGCCTGGTTATTTGCACGCTGGCTTGTTATTTTGCTGACATTCATGCTCTAATTTACTTTCTCTGTTGATATCTAAGCTGACCTTTTCTTACCTTTCTCATTTCTAATTTTTGCAAAGTCGAATTCTATAAATTTTTCTTTTGCAAAAATAAACTGGGCACACTTCTACCTTATTGCTCTGTGATTGTCAACAGAAATCACGCAATAAATAAACTAAAAAACACATGAGAACACTTCATGACAAAAATGTAATGTTACTGCAAAATATTTAGAGAATATTTAGGTGTGGATTTTACAACTACACATTTCTCATGCAATTTAAAGATTAAAAAAGTAAACAATGATGACAAAGACATTACAATGGCCACGATTTTGCAGTACCTGTCACCTGCCCCAATAAAATTGAGATTTAACAGACTACTGGGGGAGTGCTGAACAATCTTTTGTACTATATACTATTGTTGGGGTAATGGAACCAGGGTTGTGTACATAAAAGTTATCACCTATGAATAGTTATTTTAGGACCATAAGGCTGTGTGTTTTCATTTCCTGAGAGTGCTCAGCGAATGCTCTCAGCCACTGAACTGGACCTACACAGCAGGTCTTAGCACAATAGAACTAACAGAGGCTCCTTGCAGGAGGCAATCACTCCTTGCATATGACAGAGGACAAGCACATTGCCAAACCATTCTCAGTTTGACTGCTTACTCTGGAAGGACAACATGGCATACCTGGCTCCATAACCAGTGGACTGTAGTGGTTGTTGTGCTTGGAGTGTTTCTTTAAACATATATTTATTTATGAAACAAAACATGTTCATAATAGAATGTCTTTAAATATAGTTACATAGCTAAAAAGAGACATGCGTCCATCAAGTTCAACCTTTCTCACATTTGTTTTTGCTGTTGATCCAAAAGAAGGGGAAAAAACTGTCTGAAGTGCTTCCAATTTTGCAACAAACCAGGACAAATTTGTTCTTGACCACAGAATGGCAATCAGATATCTCCTTGGATTAAGAAGCCATTACCCTGCTAATTAAAAATGATATCCCTGTATAGTTTTTGATAGTATATATCGAATTGCTGTTTAAACATCTGTATAAACTCTGATAAAACCACCTCTTTCACATAATTGTTGTTCTTACTGTAAAAAAATCAAGATCTCGGGGGGCGGGGCCTAACAGCCGATCAGAACTGTCGCATGGTGCTGGAGCTCCTCAATATATTAACCTACTCAGCACTTAAACCGCTGAAAACTACACTATATCTGGGGGGAAATCCTGCATGCAATCTTGAGGAGTCCCCCTAGAGCCTCTCCGCGACTACTTTACCCGTAACAGGCGATTTTTGCCCATGCTTGACTCTCCTGCGGCCTGCAATCACACAAGAGGTGAGGGAGATGGCCGATCCCCAGCCTTGAATTGGAGCCACTTGCTCAGGGTCCTGTTCCCCCCCCCCCTTTTGGTGCAGTGGGGGTTATCCCGGTCCCCACTGGTGCTGGGATCACGCTGACACAAAGCTTGCAGCTGAACCAGAGGGTTGAGACCTATCTCCCAAGATGGCTACCACGATGAGCCCTACAGCCAGAGACACGTTCCCGCGGTCACCCTCATTGACGGACTCTCTTCTCCTAAATTTCGACCGCATCTGTGCTGCCTTCTTGGCTAAACTTGCTGAAAGGGAATTTACCCCCAAGCTTATAAGCCGACCTGAGGCACACCGGGTCCACTGTGCTGGGCTGCGCCGCCTGAGTGGGCCTCCCCCACGTGCTCGAGGAAGGGTTCCATGGAGAGGAGGACGCAGGAGACAGCCTCGTCCGGGGTCCGCACTTCATCGCCTCCGGCCCTACACTCGCACCTCCACAATCCGATGTCGGGCATACAAGCATGCACTCCCACAACGCATCCTGCCTTTCCTATACCCGCTATACCAGCTTCACAAGATCCGACGAAAACAAAAGCAAGCTACCGCTTGGTGTCCTGCAGTCGTCCAGTGGGTAATGGCACTATGCTACACACAAGCTTGTACTGACTGGGGGCCCCAAAAGAGATAGCTGATGGCAGCGGAAAAAGTGACTTACGGCCCCTAGGCATAGGCTGACTGGACAGTATAGCTCGCAGTCGGGCAGCTTACCTCCTGATCGTTGTCTGCAATGCCTCCACTGCTATACTTGCTCATAGTTCCCCAAATGCTCTTTCATGGCATAGTTAATATTACAAGACCCAGTGGTTCCAGTATTCAGCATCCTGTATCTCTCTACAGTTCTAAGCTATAGTTTGTCTTCCTCCTTTTGCTTCATTTGAGAGAACTGTGTATTTGATGTTTCCTCTTATTACCCAAAAATTTGCAGTTTATCCAACATTTCATGTCAAGTCTCTACCTTTTGCAATTGCTTTTGTACTTTATGAAATGTCTACATACATGTGATTCTTAAACTATGCACTACTAAAATAAAGAATATATAAAAAAAAAAAATCAAGATCTCATCCATTGCAACAACCTGATCTATACTTTTACTTACTTCTTTGTAGAATGCAATCAGGTTAGTTTGACATGACCTATGTTTCATCAAACCATACTGATTATTGCTAATAACAATGTTCTTCCCAATAAATACTTGCATATTATCCCTTAATAACCCTTCAAATACGTTTCCATCAACATAAATTAAGCTCACAGGTCTATAATTTTCAGGCAAAAATTTTGAACCCTGTTTGAACATAGCAACCACATCTGTCTTCCTCCAGTCCAATTCCTGAAAGAAAGAATTTTGAAAGATTAAATTCAGAGGCTTACTTATTTCCTTAAATACTCATGGGTGGCATTCTTTAGCTGCTGAAGCACCTTGTCTTGAGTCATCCAATCAACATCTTTCTGCAAGTTTTTTTGCAGCAATCTTTGCATATCTGTTATTTAGTTATTTAACATTTCTTCCTTTTTCTGGTCTTCATTAACTAACACACCCATCTTCCTTAACTAACACTGTTTCAGTGTAACTACACATTTATTATTTTTTTTTAAATTAATGTACTTAAAAAGTTTTGGGGTTGGTTTTGCTCTCTTTGGCTATTAATTTCAAATGTTCTAGTTTAGCCATTCTAATTGTCTTTTTGCATGCGTTATCGACTTCCTTATATGTTATATAGGATTCCTCTAGTTTGTCCAATTTTAAATGTTGTTTTTTTTTATTCTTTATTTTTGTTGTGAAAAGGTTTGACAAACAAGCTTACTATACCACATCAGCAAGTACAAGCATTTCATTTCTCAACTAATAAACAGGCTAAACATGAGTAATTGATGTTAGTTTAGAAAAGTTGATAATGGAGGAAGTATAGCTGTTAGTGATGTCCCGAACTGTTCGCCGAACGGTTCGCGAACGGTTTGCCACGAACGGTTCACCACGGACTCATCATTGAGTAAACTTTGACCCTGTACCTCACAGTCAGCAGACACATTCCAGCCAATCAGCAGCAGACCCTCCCTCCCAGACCCTCCCACCTCCTGGACAGCATCCATTGTGAAGCTGCATTCTTAGTGAGCTGTCCAGGAGGTGGGAGGGTCTGGGAGGGAGGGTCTGCTGCTGATTGGCTGGATTGTGTCTGCTGACTGTGAGGTACAGGGTCAAAGTTTACTCAATGATGAGTCCACGGCGAACCGTTCGTGGCGAACCGTTCGCGAACTGTTTGCGAACCGTTCGGTGAACAGTTCGGGACATCACTAATAGCTGGTATTGTACTTTTCAGAAAATAAAGTAAAATAAAGAAAATAAAGTAAAAGAAAACAAAATAACTAGAATGTAGTTCCATTAGTTTAAACATAGAAATGGTGTGAGAATCTATAAGGTACCATAGAACTAGAGGTGCAGGAGGTAAATACCACTGAGCAATCAGTTGGAATTAGTGTAGGTGAGCAAGGCCATCACACAGCTTGGCCACAAGTAACATTGTGCACAATGAGTACAACCATAAAACAGCCTATATTTAGATAGGTTTCATGCATCATCTAGCTGATGCCCATTAATGAAGAGTCCCAACTTCCCCCACTGTCTGCCTCCCTGCTTAGGTTTTTAAATTTAGCCCAAACACCGAGGCAGTCCAGGTTACTTCACCACAGGGAGGCAGCTTGGTCATCAGCCAAGGCTTGCATCAGCGGAACTATGGGCTTGCATGCCCGGTGACTGGAGCTGGGGATTTCCCAGTCTGGCTGGTCATGTTGGGGATCAAGAGGCTTGTGGAGATAAGAGGCAGCTGTATGCAATGGCAGCTTCCTGCGCTATCTCCTCCACAACACCGCCCATGTGACACATGGCAGGTGTCTGAGTTTGTGATGGCGGTCATCAGGAAGGCTCAGGGGAACTGCAACTTGGGCCCACAGTAAGGGTTCCACACATGTAGGTGTGAGCAGGGAGGTGCTCATGATTGTAGGCCCGAGCAGGGCAGCTATTTTAAAGAGTAGGCCCAACCTCTCTGTTTTGCTGTAAGGCAAGCAATCTCGGCCAGGTGGCACCAGTGAGGACCGGGACATCCCTCGCCGGGACAAGGCTCAAGGCTAACAGACTTTGAGTCAAGGCTGGGGATCGGCAACCTCCCCATCCTTGAGTACAGCTACAGGCCGAAGAGAAGTTAAACGTGGTTTGTGATCACCGCTAGCAGGCGAAGTAGTGCCAAATAATCTGCAAGACTGTTGCCAAGGTAGGTATCAAGCTGGTAGCCAATTTTGGCCTCCATAAATGGGTATTACCTGAGGAGTTCCAGCACCATGCGGCTATCTCAGTCATCTGTCAGGCCCCCCTCCCCCCGATTTAAATGCTTTAACGCCCTTTTCTTGTTTGTAATCTCTTGAATTACTTTTTCATTAAGCCACATTTTTTTCAATTTGTTTCTTTTATATTTATTAACCAATGACCCATACTGAGAAATGTACCTTTCTAATATTCGTTTTAAGATATTCCATTTATTTTGTGTTTATCTGTGTTTTTTTCACTAAGGCATTTATGTCAGTAAATATGTTGTAATGGTTCCCTTTAATCTTATTGAAATTGGCCTTTATAAAATTATATGTTTTATTATACCCGATGTGCTTTTGCTTTTTTAAGTTGATTTCAAAAGACACCATATTGTCATTACCCAAGTACCCCTCCTACTTGAATGTTGGTCAAAATATCAACATTGTTCGTTATAACCAGGTCCAGACAAAGCGTCCTTTCTAGTTGGTTCTTGTACCAGTTGTGACATGATGGTGTCATTTAACATGTTTAAACACCTGTTTCCCCTGGCTGTACTATAAGTCCTTCTATCCCAATTTATGTCCAGGTAATTGAAATCTCCAATAATTAATTTGTCATCCAAAAATGCAGGTTTTATCAATTACCGCTAACAGCGGTTATCCCTCATCAATAGTAACATTAGGTGGTTTCCAACATATCCCAAACACTAACTGATTTTGTTCTTTTGCCCTAAAAAGATATCTACTTATAAAGCTTCCACATTTTCCTTGTCACCGTCCACATTCCTTTCCTGTTTTTTCTATCCTTCCTAAATAATGTATAACCATTTAAGTTAACTTCCCAGTCAAATGTCCTTTTTCACCATGTTTCTCTTATGCCTATTTTGTCACATTGCTTAGTGTATGCTATTGCCTCTAGAGCCCCCATTTTATTATTTAGGCATTTTGTATTACTAAGCATACATTTAATATTATCATGGGTTGCTTCTAATTTCTGTGAATTTTTATTACTATTACTATTGTTCTGACCTTGCCCATCCCCCCCATCGCCAACCCTCTTGTGCTGAGCTAAAGCCCATCTACTTACTGTCATATCTCCATTTTAAAATCTCCTCCAATCTTGTAGCTATCCTGTCCTCCAGCACAGCAAACCCTCTTCCGTTTAGTTGCCATACATCATGGATATGAACATTGTAGCTCTAAAAAGCCCAAACCCTTATTCCTACACCATGATTTTAACCATGCATTAATCTCCGTAATCTCCCGCTGACTTTCTACTATAGTTTCTTCACTTTTCTTCTTACTTCCCTGAGCTCATTCTTTAAAGCCTTCCCTTCTCTTCTGACTTTGTCATTGGTACCAAAATAGATGATGACAGCTGTGCCATCCCCAGCCCGTCCCAATAATCCATCCACTCTGTTCACAACATGTAAGACCCAGGCACCCAGGAAACAGCAAAATGTCCGGTTGAGATGATCAGAGCGGCAGATTACCCTATCTACTCTCTTAAAAGAATCTTCTACCACTACAACCTGTCTATAATTTTGTAATGGATTCCATATACTCCGGCTGAGTATATATCCGTTGTAAGTCTCCCAAATCCCAAGTGAAAGAGTGATCAGAGCTCTTAGCTACCCAAACATCAGCCAAGACTTGATGAAGGGTACAACAGGTACAAGGTACCGCCAATTTATACAAAACCTGGATACAGTCAAACCCACCCTGGAACACTCCCACAGCACGCCCATAACACTCCCACAGCACGACTAAGCACAACGAACATAAAGCATTAAAATACCCCAAAACATAGCAAAGACATAAAACAACCCCACACATAATACATCCCCAAATAGCTCCTGGTCCCAGCTATGATCCTTGCAAATAGCGAAGCCCGAGAAATCATCCTATAAAGTCTGGGCTTGAGGCTCTGTACATACCCGAAAAAAGTTCCACGGAATCACTTGGTTTAGGCTGGTAGATTCAAATTTTGCGCCTAAACCACAAGGCGACCAATCAGCTCTCAGGGAGGGGAGGAGTTCCAAGCTAATCCCTTTAACTTGCACCGGCCTATCAGGAGAAAGGGCGTGAACCAGCTTGACCAATCAGCAAGCTGAGCCCTTTAACAATCGCAAGAAAGGGTGCAAACCAATTTGAATGGTAGCTCCTTTTCATTTTGCTCGGCATGGGCTTCCAGGCGGCCAGTGGGACTCTGCAGCTGTGAAGCCGACTTATAGCTCCAGAATGTCTGCCAGGATTCACGTCAGGGTTTATTGGTCCTGTAGGCTTGGACAGTGAGTGTAACAGGTTTACTGACAACTTTCTTACGGTCTCAACCCCACCCATACTAAAGGGGCTGTTCCCTCTGCCTTCCTCCAGTACAGCTACTCCTGAGCTGATGCTACCAACATCTTCACTCAAACAGCAAATATGTTAGCTAGCACAAAATCAGCACTAGCTAAACCTTTCCTCTTTCCTCCCAGCTGCTACCTCGCCCAGCTGTCACCCAGCTATGTGCCTGTTCCCCAGCTGTCTTATCTCCTCCCACTCCACTACCTGACTCCTCTTCTCATTGAGCAGCAGACCCCTTTCAAGAGTGAGATTTATTTACTAAACAATGAGCTATAGTGAATTCACATCTGAGCTGCAAAATGTAACCTAAAATGAAGAGATGTCAACTCACATCTTTTATTATTTGGGTACGAGCACCTGAGCCACAGTACCAATAAAATATTTTATCTTGCATCTTGGGATGTCGAGCAAACTGAAATGATTTGAGCTCTTATTTGAGAGGCCTCTGTTGCTCATTGATTTTGTCGTCAGTTTCATTATTTTCTTATTTCAGTCTTTCTGTTAAAAAGTCATTTTCATCAAAAGCAAACTAATCCGTCATTATTTTCGATGTCAGAAGGGTTAAGGAAGGAGCAGCGTGTTCATGTATAAATTAAAGGGTTTCTGGGGCACAGAGAAAGGAAATTAAAATTCTAAGAAAGTGTTCAATAAGTAAAGCTGGTTAATCCTTCAGCTGAGAAAGGGCATAGATTAACCTTTTTTGAGTGACACCCCTCGAGCTTTGTTTAATCGTGCTATCTTGAACCCCTTAGAATGTTCAACAGAATGCTTAGATTTTGTTTAGACTACCTACTATATTGCCCTTTGAGAAATGTGGGATTTTATGTTGAAGTAAATGTGCAAAGTTCCTTTGTCTTGTGCGTCTGAGAAGATTACTGCAAGTTAAAAAGCTATTGTTATGTATTTCACCAACTAGAGGTTATAAATGGATATGTAAGTTTTTTTAACCACTTTGTATGTACAGTAGAGGGGCTAAGGGAGTCAAAGTTTGAGAGTAAAGGGGGCACTTGAGTCATCTCTCTCTTAGAAAGATAGAATATAAGCCTAGAGGTCAAATACAACTGAATCAACTCTTAAGTGAAACTCAGACCTGATTAAACTATCAAACAGGATGCTACATCACACTATTCCCCCCACTGTTTCCTATGCCATTCCATTACTGACTCAGCTCTCAACAACTACATTTTCTCCCTGCCCAATTCTTCTTCCCCGACATCTCTCCTGATATTCTATAACAAGTCTCCGGTTACCTCTCTTCCATCTCTGATGGATGTCCTTCTGCTTTCTAAAACTGAGATTGTTATAGTCCCTCCTAATTAATCATCCTCTGTCACTCTTCCAGTATGTTCTTTGTATGCACATCAATCTGTCCTTGCAAACAAGCTGTCTTGTTGTTATCATTGATTCTGGCCTCACCTTTATGCCTCATATCCAATCCTTTACCAAATCCTGCCAATTCCACCTTCAAAACATTTCTCCTTTCTTGCACAAGATGCTACTCAGGATCTGGTTCATGCTCTTGTAACT